CGATGCCTTTGTCATGGACGCTTGGGGTAAGCAGCTCGAGGTCGGCAGGAAGATTACAATGCTTGCTGATCCTCAGGGCACTTTTGTCAGGGACCTCGGACTCGACTTTGACGCCTCTGGTAAGTAGCTTTACTATGGAGAGGAGAGAGTCGCTTGAACGCATCAATTGCCAGCGGCAATTTTCATTGACATGTATATTGTCTTTCTCTTGTCGCTGAAATAGCTGCTCTTGGTGGACACCGATCGAAGCGCTTTGCGTTGGTTCTAGAGGTAAGTTTCAGCGTTTTGGGACTACTGTTGGATGATACTCTAGTGTCATGCGTTTGTTAACCGCTCATTGCAAATCACCGTTGCTATATAGAATGGCAGGATCACCAAGGCATTTGTCGAGGTAAGATGCTGTTGAGCAGGGCAACGGTTACGCTGCGGCTGTGTATGGCAACACCTATCAATCCTGGGCTAATCCTCTGTGTTGTTTCATTGCTTAGCCGAACAACACAGGATTGTCTATCTCCTTGGCAGAGAGCCTGCTGAAGGAACTCTAGAGTGGGTACATGTAGTACTAAAGTGATAGTGATGATGTCTTACGCATCTGATACTAGCGTACATGCAAAACAAAGTCCGGTAGAATTTCGTACCTCAAAAGTGGATATTTTGTGCATGTGGACAGGGTTGCCTGTCAGGGAGCATCACGTAAATGGAAGATAGGATATCATTGTTCGGCAAGGCAACACAAAAAAAAAGATTTGTCTGCCCAATGGCCTTGTCGCGTTCACGCCAAGCGCTTCCGGAAAAGAAACACGGGGCTTGATCGGCCTGGCAATGGAAACCACGCGGCAGGATGCGACGCGATGAAGATGAAGAATGATATGGAGTTTTTTGTGATCCTTATGGACTACCAGGTGCTCAATCAATGAGTCAATCAGCATACTGAACGACTATAGCGCGTTCCATCGTTTTCTCCTACAATTGCGAAGAAAAAAAAAGAAAAAAAAAGGAGTCCTCCAGGAGTGTTGCCTTTGTGAAGCGGGGGACCTTGAGGCACATGGGGTATATTTTTGCTTTAGTAGTAGCACCGTTATCACGGACATAAAGAGGGACAGAAGTGAGGAACCTTGAGCCTGGATCTCGCTTAATCTCTCCTTGGCAAGCTGACCAGTCAACACACAGATCTTGCTACGCGTCTTTAGAAAGTTGATCTCCTGCTCCTAGGGACCGTACCTATTTTTCCATCTTCATTTACGTTGCATGGATGCCGGCTCAGATTGGGCTAGTCCGCTCAAAAGGGATACTGGAGGCATTGGTCTGGTCTAATTTGGTACTGGCAGGCAAATGGTGCATCGAATGAGATCCTTTTCATAGGAACCGATTGGGAGTGTTGGGAAGTAAAACCTGGCTATCTTCCCACTCTCTCCACTCTTACCCTCCCTTCCCTTTTGATTTGCCACCAATTCTTTCTTTCTTGTCTTCATCCATTCAGCTCCATCGACAATCCCTTTCTCTTTCTCGATTACACAAGTGTCGCTTCTGGTCGCCTTCCCTCGTTCCAGAAGAGGTTTATTTATTCCGTTCTCGGACAAGTTCTCAGGAGTATTCAGCACTGTTCAGTTGTCTCCAACTGCTTTAAAACGGACGAATATCCTTTGATCAAGCCGTATGTCGGCAGCAGCAACCTCCTCGCTGGGGCCGCAGGGTCACCTGGGACTTCTCACAGGCAGTGCCAGGCCCAGGGCACGGAGCGTCAACACGGATCATACTCAGTTCCAGTTCCAGCACCAGCACCAGCAACAGCAACAGCACCAGCACCAGAGCCATAACCAAAACCAGCGTCAGTCCACCAGTAATGAAGCCGAGGTTGTCTCTCCATCATCAGCTGCACTCGATCAGATCAAGTCCAGCCTAACAATGACGACGCATCATACTGGGTCTCATTCTGCTCACCAGCACTACGTTCTGTCTTCACAACCAGCTCAGCCTCTGCAGCCTTCCTCAATATCTTCAAGTCCAATAAGGCCCTCCTTTGCCTCGGCCTCGGCCGATTCCCATCCATACTCTCTCCAGCAGGATTCTATCCTCAATATGTCAAGCAACAGCGCCAGCAGCACCCCGCCCGCCACAAAAACCAGCTTTGGTCTGAGTATTCCCAACAACAGCGGCAGCAATTTGAACCATTATTCCGGCAGCAGCAGCAGCATCTATAACAATACCGTAATTAGCCACGCAGGAAGCAGCCCCAATCCGGTCCTCGCTAACAGCACCAGCAGCCTCAGCACCTTGACCGGCAATAGTCCACTGCAACATCGGCCTCACACACCATTAAAGTCCTCCTTCCCGCTATCAATTACTTCGGAACATCCCTCGGATACTATGACCATCCCCCCTTTATCTTCCTCCTCCTCTCCGAGCGCTTATCATGCAGGAATATCAGGAGGAGCAGGAGCAGCAGGAGCAGCCGGAGGAAGAGGAGGAGGAGGAGGAGGAGGAGGAGAAGGAGGAGGAGGAGGCGCTGATATAGTACCGCCATCCTCTGCATCATCGTCGTTGCCAGGAGGCTCTTTCGAGAACACGTCAATCGTTCCTGGACCATTTCACTTCAAGTCTTTATCGACCGGACGCATGCATAACATGGGCAATGAAAAAAACCTTGGGTCCTTACCAACAATACAGCATCAAAATGGTCGAAGACGACGTAAGTTTCTGGTCTTCGACGGTTTCTCACACCAGGTCATGATCTGAAGCATGAGTAGGCGCGGGCTTTTTTCTTCTTGCAATGGACGCTGCATTACCTGACGAAGTGTGGCACCAGGAGAGGAAATGCAACGGCGCGATGACTTTCAGGATAGGTCAAAGGAAAAGGCAATAGCAGTATCGACGAGGTCAGCACACCACGCCAAGTGGCGCAATCTTTGGTCTGTCGGGAATTTATTATATGAATACATGGAACCAGGACTTCAATTGATTGCAGGTGTCATGGAACGAAATATGTCAATGGCGATAAGAAGCAGTGTTCATCGATTTTCATCGCGTCACTATAGTTAGCAGGCTATATTTGCGCCAGGAAAGAACAAAAGGAGCCACGTTAACATAGATGTACATTTCCATCTTGCAATGTTCTTTCTAGAGGATGGAGCAACCTTTTTGGGCGTGTCAATGAAGCATTTGTCGCTGCTCGTCCTTTTGCTGCAGAACAGTGTCCTGGTGTTAATGATGCGCTATTCACGAGTCACGGTGGATCCAGATCAGCCTATGTACCTCGCCTCAACAGCCGTCTTTCTCGCAGAGATTATCAAGCTGTTAACTTGCTTTTGGATTCTTGTTTACAAGACAAAGTCCATCTCCCAAACGGTTTACATCGTCCGCAAAGAGATTGTAGAGCAGCCACGCGAAATTCTCAAGATGCTGGTGCCCTCAGGACTATACGCTCTACAGAACAATCTCCTTTACATCGCCCTTTCAAATCTGGAGGCAGCAACTTTTCAAGTGACCTACCAGATGAAAATCCTCTCGACCGCCATTTTCTCAGTAGTGATGCTCAACAAACGGTTAACGCGGCAAAAGTGGTTCTCGCTATGCCTCTTGATGATCGGCGTTACACTGGTGCAGCTGCAAAATGTTGGGACCCCCAAGAGCCCGATTGCGATCGATACTTCAAGGGACGAGGAGAACGATTCAGAAATCATGGAACTGGCTTCAGACGACGTTTTGTTGGAGGAGGATTCAAGTCAGAATCCGATCATTGGATTACTGGCAGTGCTGACTTCGTGCGTCTCTTCAGGATTCGCAGGCTGTTATTTCGAAAAGATCCTCAAGGGCAGTGAGTCCGACATGTGGGTCCGGAACCTTCAGCTCGGCATCTCGGGGTCTATGTTCAGTTTTTTGGCTATGTTTTACGACAGGCAGAAAATTTACGAGGCTGGTATCTTCCAAGGTTATTCTACAATAACCTGGATGGTTATCACGAATCAGGCACTTGGAGGACTCTTGGTTGCAATCGTGGTCAAATATGCGGACAACATCTTGAAGGGCTTTGCAACATCGCTATCGATCATTACCTCGGGCATGATCTCAGTCTACTTTCTCGACTTTGAGCCTTCTGTTCAGTTCCAGCTGGGAACACTAGTTGTGATCTTAGCAACCTTCTTATACGGTCGACCTGACGCGCCAATTCCAAGGTTTATCAGGCCACAGAAAAAGTAGGTGTCTTCAGATAACGATGAGTCTCGACTTTACGGTTTCAACAATATAACTAACGCATCTCGTTTAATGCCCCGTTCGGTCTGTAGGAGGCAAAGCATGCCACCGCCCTTGAAATTCGCAATGTAAAGCTGGAGGAATTTGTTTAGTTCGACAATGCCGTGCGATCGCTTACTTCCTCAAGGAGGCACCTTACACCTGCATCGGACATTTTGCTTGGGTCGCACACGATGGCTTCTGAGTGAATTAAGACATTGCACTAACTCTGATCTGCAGGAACAGATCGTCCAATACTCCACCCCACTCCACCCAGAATGACTCGGTCATCTTTGTACAGATACTTGCTTCCTTTCTCCACGTGTAGTACCAATATCCTTATAATGAACAAAGAAAAAAGGAGCGATTCAACATACTCTATTGCCAGTATATAAAAAACTAGTATTGGTCAAAAGGCATGCAGGAGGAATGTGCGGACGCGCTTTGACTAGGAACCAATCCGACTTAGTGGTTTACCATCGATTATTTGCGGTTGGGCACATGTAGATCGATCGTCAAGCTGACTGTTTCGTTTTTTTTCTTAGCTTTTTTTTCATTCTTTGATTCAGCATTCTTTTCCTTCACTTTCCCCTCACCATGATCTCGCAGCATTCCCAACAGCTCTCTCAGCCCACTCAGACCATACTTACACCCCCATTTGCAGCAGGAATCCTCTCCAGTAGTTCAGCTCACGGCCCAGCCAAGGACAACACGACTGTCTGTGGATGGCTCATCAACCGATCCACGCTCGAAAGTAAAGCAAGCATATTGACGTCCTCAACGTTGACGCGTCCTTTACCAGGCTGCTGTTTCGCTGGAGGCTGTAAACTGACCAGGCGATCGACATCGGGACATATATAGCCTGTTTAGTCATCCATCGTGACAGGTCAACCACGATCGGCCGCCACTTAACGAGGTATTGCTGATGCAAAACACACTCTTAATACGACACTTCAAAGTGAGGGCGAATTTGATCTAGGAGTTTTGATGCTCGATATCGATTTACTCTCAACAGTGACCTGATCTTGACGGAGAACACCATTTCGAATTGCCACTGCCAGTTTTATACGGTGCGTATCGTAGATTGCGTGAAGCGGATTTTGATGGCGCTTTATTCAAGCAACTAATTTGTGCTGTGTTTACCCACACATAGAGTTCTGTTGGGTTTGTCATGTGCGAAGTGAGTGCACAAACGCGTCTTTTTTCGTGTCCATTTCATTGTTATCACATTCGTACGGTAGCATTTATCAATTCACTACGCTTTTACGAATAGGACGTGAGCACCAATGGCACCTATTGTAAGTCGTATCTTACCTATTTTATTGTACGCGAATATTTACAACAAACAACGACTGCGTCGTTCATTTTCAGACGTTCGATTTCATACGCAGGGAATGGATCACTCATTGGGAAGGGCGAGTCTGTTGTTCTATCACATGGAGACTCTATTCGCATCAGAGGCAACTACCGTAAGTCGGTACTTTGATTTTTCTAGGATTAGCCTTCAAACGATATCGATACTGACAGTTACGCACGTTTATTTTCTTAGACTTTATTTTTCAGGAGCTGACGCCACCAAAATTAGAGCATGAAGATGTAGAAATCGGTGTATGTGCTATTGTGCAGCCGTCGCTGAGAAGAATGGTCGTTGTAATGAGTACTAATTGAGATGGATGAACGGGTTTCTGATAGCTCATCGAAAAGACGTACCAGATACTGCCACTCACTTTGGGAAAGTAAGTCCTTGAGAGAATCAAGGCTATTATACGCATTTGAAGCTGCTCAATGACAGTTACTGATGATGCCCTTCTCCTAAGGGGTACCTTTGCGAAGGTACATGTGGCCATTCATCGGAAGACAAAGGCCCAGCTCGCGGTGAAGATTATGGATAGAATTCGCTACGGCGTTCCAGAGTACTCTGGCGGGACCGATATTGAAAAAGAAGTGACCATACTGCGAACCGTCGACCATGTAAGATTAGCATTGTATTCTCAAGTATTGATTCGTCTATGCTGTAATAGCGCATAATAAACATCCCCTGATGTTCCTCTCACAGGCAAATATAGTCCCAGTAGTGGATACCATCAAGACTACTCGGTACATCTATATCTTTATGCAAATGTAAGGTCATTTAGTTTACTGTATTTCGCAAGTGGGGAGACCGAGTATGCTCTGAAACCTTTGAACTTACTCTTTTCATTATAATCTACTCTAGGGTGACTGGAGGCGACCTGTTCGACTACATTGTGAAGAATGGGCCCTTGTCAGAACTAGAGGCCAAATTCGTGGCGTATCAGACACTCCTGGCACTCCAGGTACATTGCGCGTCTACCTATCATAGGGTTATACCCAGGTGAGTTTATGTCCACTAACATGGTGCCGTCCTTTGTCTCTTCGTCTCTGCACTATTAGTACCTTCATAACATCAACATTTCGCATCGAGGTAAGCGCGTGTTCGATGATACGACGATCGTGAGAAAGAGGCATGTAGCTTGACGCGTTTGCTTCCCTTTGAATAGATCTGAAGCCAGAAAACTTGCTTCTAACATCGACGACAAAATATCCTCGAGTACTATTGACGGACTTTGGCATGGCTCGCCAGTTTGAACAAGGACGCCTTATGAACACCATGTGCGGTACATTTGCCTACATGTAAGTGGGGTTGAAGCGCGTTCATGTGCAAGGGGTAAATGCTAATCCTTATTGACTATCGAGTAGTACTAAAGCAGTTGGTGGGCGGCTGTTCGATAGGGCACCGGAAGTGTTTGATGTCAAGCATGCTAAGGGTTCAGGCTATGGATATACGGCAGATTGTTGGAGCCTGGGTGTCACGCTTTACGTGGTTCTGTCAGGTACGCACCCATTCACATCCAAATATGCGACTGAGGATGAAAGGACAATGCGGCTCAAGATGAAAAACAGGTAACATAACAACTCTCTCAAAAGAATGTTGCACTAGGACTTGCTTTAATGGCACGTATTCAGGCGGTTCTGACACCTTTAATGCGTTTGTGAAAGTAGTCTGGTATTCCCATCGTGCTACTGGAAGAGTATCAGTCCCGAAGCGCGACAACTGATCAAGCGGCTGCTGACGATGGAACCTGGGAAGCGATGGAGTGTTCAGGACGCCCTACGATCGAATTGGATCCAGGACGACATAGGATGGCTCCACCAGCGATATCGAGAGACTGTGTTAGCGCACTGGATCAAATCGAGCCAGCATCTTGGCAGTGTTGTGCGACATGCGGAGCCACTTTCGTCAGAGAACGAGGCGAGCAACCGCACAGCATCTCAGCACAGTCGTACCAGCCCTAGTATGTTGTTGTGGACGGAGCTATTTGTATCGTGGATGTACAACCCTTAAAAACTAATCAGTCTTTCTCTGTGGATAATAGATCGCGAAAGTGCTGTTGCCGCGTCGAATGCATCTTCTTGTAACACCTCGGGGATCCCCGAGGTACACATTTCGTCGATAGCGAGTTCGACTGTGCGTGTGCCTGATGTCTCTTTCTAGCATGCATCGGGTTGCAGTCACGATATGTATCTGGCCCCATTTTTTATTCTGGGATGACACCAACTGTAGCATCTTTTCGCGTACTCTGACCAGCCCTCCGGCGGTTCGTTATCTTTTTTATGGGTCCTTCGAAGATATGCAACATGGACTCTTGCTGCAATAGTAAAATCTGCGCGTTTATGGTTCTGTTGTTTATGATAATACGAAGGCACGGACGGAGAAAGGCCGGTTACCAAAAATGGACATTGACCCCGCTTTTTCATAACCCTGTTGTGCTATGGGATGATCCAAGAAGTGAATTAGAGGTAGTAATGATGTTGATGAACAGGGCCAAGCTGATTAACTAAGGCGCCAGGTGGGGACCGTGGGGCGAAAGAGGGGTCAGGCGTAGTAACTGAATACTTTCTTTGTACATGCATATTGTATAGCTGGGCGGAGGAAGAGCACTCCAACGATATTCATGTGAGAGTGATCAAAATCCTAGACAATGCACAAAAGATGGGCACAGGACACGATAGCTGCATCGTCAATTTAATTGAAGTAAGCCCGACCGAGATGACGATGCATCGAACGGCCTTCTCTTCTCGTCGTCGTCAATAAAGACGAAGAGAGTGGGGGACGGATGATCACATCGAATCCGATGGCACTCCGCTTTTGAACAAAACGTAATTCGATTGAGTTCAGTCAAAATTTTTTTAAGACATCCGTCGGAGGCAGTTTTTTTCTTTTCCTTCTTTACTCTCTTCAATCCCATCCTCCATCTCTTTACACTCTCTTCTCGTTACAATGGCCTCTCTTCGTACTGCCTTCCGCCTCCCTGGCCTCGCCAAGGTACTTACTTGTTATCATTCAACCCCTCATCGCTTTGTCTCTATCTGTCTGCCTATGTTTATCAGTCAAAGGCAATTCCATCAAGACATCACTATCAAGCCGTTCACAAGCACTGCTTCTGATCAGCAGGCGACTATGCTTGGTTCCGGGGCTGATTCTTTCCTGTCTTCCCTTTCGATTCAGGGGATCCTTCGCTTTGACAATTCGAGTTGCATCCTCTCCGATTCAACTACAAAAGAGCATTACTGACCATTGCTGTTCATTGTGCACACTATCTGGACTGAATAGGTTGCTACCCGCCACAACACGTTCGCCGCATCCGCCATCCGCGCATACTCCACCAAGCCCCAGGTGCGTTGACAGCCCTCACTGTCCATATTGCGAGGACTGTGTTGAATGTGTGGATGCAAGGAGAATGACCGTGGAAAAGTGTTTGCCTAAGGACCCAGAGTGTGTATTGTGTCGATGGGGTTTGTTTCACTGGAGAAGGAAAAAAAAAAAAAGAAGTTTCTGCTTGACATCGTTTTGATTGCAGCAGTCTCCGTTGTGAACCAGTGGACAAGGGAGCGGGATGGAGAGAAAAGATGTGGCGTCATTGTCATTGAAGAAAGGTCCGTTGCTTGGTCTCTGACGACCGAAATTTTGTTTGCATGCCAAACAGGGCTTGAAGGACCGCCTTCGCGAGTTGATTCCTGAGAAGCGCGAGGAAGTCAAGCAGGTCAAGGCCGAGTTCGGTAACAAGGTCTTGGGCGAGACCACCGTCGACATGGCCTACGGTGGTATGCGTGGTATCAAGGGTCTTATTTGGGAGGGATCTGTCCTCGATGCTGAGGAAGGTATCCGTTTCCGGGGCAAGACCATCCCCGAGTGCCAGCGCGATCTCCCGGCTGCTGAGGGCGGCAGCGAGCCTTTGCCCGAATCCCTCTTCTGGCTCCTCGTCACCGGCGAGGTCCCTACTCAGGAGCAGGTCAAGGGTCTTTCGGCCGAGTGGGCTGCCCGTGCAACCCTTCCCACGTTTGTTGAGGATTTGCTTGACCGCTGCCCCAACACCCTCCACCCCATGTCCCAGTTCTCGCTCGCTGTCACTGCTCTTCAGCACGAGTCTCAGTTCGCGAAGGCATATCAGAAGGGAGTCAGCAAGCTGGAGCACTGGGATACTACCTTTGAGGATTCCATGGATTTGATTGCCAAGCTCCCCAACATTGCCGGTCGCATTTACCAGAATGTATTTAGAAACGGCGCCAAGGTTGCGCCCATTGACCCCAACAAGGATTTCGGAGCCAACCTCGCCAACCTCCTCGGATTCAGTGACAACAAGGAATTTGTTGAGCTGATGCGCCTCTACCTTACGATCCACTCTGACCACGAGGGTGGTAACGTTTCGGCACACACGACTCACTTGGTCGGCTCTGCTCTATCAGACCCTTACCTGTCCTTTGCTGCTGGGTTGAACGGTCTTGCTGGTCCCCTTCATGGACTCGCCAACCAGGAGGTTCTCCGTTGGATCACCAAGATGCGCGAGGAGCTTGGTGGAAAGGACGTCTCGGATGAGACGATCAAGGAGTATGTCTGGAAGACCCTGAAGAGCGGCCAGGTTGTTCCCGGTTATGGCCACGCTGTTCTCCGCAAGACGGATCCACGCTACACATGCCAGCGTGAGTTTGCGCTGAAGCACATCCCCAACGACCCCCTGTTCAAGCTCGTCTCTCAGATCTACACGGTTGCTCCTGGAATCCTGCTAGAGCACGGCAAGACGAAGAACCCATGGCCCAACGTTGATGCGCACTCGGGAGTATTGTTATCTGCTTACGGATTGGTTGAGCAGGACTTTTACACGGTGCTGTTCGGTGTGTCGCGTGGATTGGGGGTGTTGTCCCAGTTGATCTGGGATCGCGCGTTGGGTATGCCTCTTGAGCGCCCAAAGTCGTACTCGACCGCCGCCATCAAGGCCATGTATGCCAAGAAGTAAACACTTTAAAGCACACACGCACACCCATCCATCCTCCGATCTCTGAAGTTCAGTCTGTTTGTCTTTTTAGAATGTTGTTCTCTCTTTTCGAATACCTTTGGCGCCGTGGTACGCCATCCACGTTCGCCTTGCACATAGTCCCTCAGAATAAAGAAAAAAAAAAGTTTCGTTCAATAATCGTTAGGGAAGATAAATCTGTAATCTTTAGTAGGATCCTCAGAGACATACGCCAAGCATTGATAAATTTACGGATATTTTGAAAAACACTTAGTAGAAATGATATTGAGGTTTGTGACAAGGATTGGATCGGAGGAATAGGATAGCATATTTCTCTTGCGGCAGCAATATGTAGTCACCACAGGAGCAAATTCAGATTGAGCATTATTTCTCCCTCAGTGTGACAGTGTTCATGGGCGAGAAAGGTATAAAATGCACCCCTTGCCCGAAAACGATTTTTTTTTTCTCTATCGCACTCCAGTGGTTATAACTAATCGGATAAACATCATGCCTTTTACCTGACGTTTTCGAGTTACAGCCATACACAATGGAGTTGATCACCTATTTTTGGTCCCGCTCCTGGCGGGTTACTTCTTACTTCAAAAAAAAAAAAGCGATGGACCACGGTCGAAACTGGTTAATGGGACCATTTTCGTATGTAAATTGGCTCCATAACCTTAAATATGTGGTTATATTTTTCATCTTTAGAATACACCTTTCATAGGTCAATTCAATTTCCAATTAAAGTTTGGCCGCGTTTTCATAAGCCTAAAAACGAGTTTTGACTGTTGTACGTGTAAAAATCTGGAGCAGATCTGTTCCACAATCAGTCCAAGGGATACAGGAGGTTTCGTCGATCGCTTCTGCTGAACTTTTGGAGTTGGCATAACACAGCCCGATTGCCACAGCCCGATTGCCACAGCCCAAGAAATATTATATGACTCCCCAATCTATTCTCTTTGCCGTTGACATGGTATTGGGAGCAATATAGCGTGTGAAGTAGACTACGCGTGTATATGAAATTTAGCTTATAAACCTTAGTATTTGTGCCTTTGTGTCTCTGTGTCTTTGTGTCTTTGTTGAAGGTAAAAGTGCGGGAGCGACTTCTTTTTCCCATTCCACTTTTCTCCCTCCCTTCTTTACTCTTTTTCCTTCATGACTTCTCTTCATACACCACAAGAAGACGCGTCTATGGACACGACTGACGCCACCAAGCAACAGCAACAGTTGCCAACCAAGACTCAACAGATTGTGCCCGACAAGAACTTTACTGAGAACTCGACCGAGAATGAGAACGAGAACCAGATTGAGATTCAGAATGAGAAGCAACCCGACCCATTCGATTCCTTCGAGAGTCCAGCTTTCATCGTCCAGAGTCCAACAGCGACCATGACCCAGACAGACCCCAACCATCACCACGCCTTCGCCTTCCCGCTTCTCGCAAACATGCCTCGCCTGCACCTCGACATAGTCTCCACATCCACTCAATCCGCATCCACATCCTCTCCCTTATCCTCAGGGGTATCCTCGTACCATCAGGACCTCGATTCGCTTTCTTCTTCCTCACCATCAGCGTCGCTTAAAGTGCCCGGCCTCCCCAGCAATAATGATGATCTCAGCAACACGAGTTTCGGACGAACACATGGACATGGACGCAGCCTATCTGTCGACACCTCTTCAACAACACCAAGGCCAGGAATAGACGGCAGCTCCAGTACACCCGGGTCTCGACGAAGCTCCTTCTCAAGACCGATCCCCGTCAAGGAAACGCTTGACGCATGTGTGACAGAGACCGCAGATGGCCGTTTGAAATTGAAGCAATACGTCCTCGAAAGAATCATTGGACAGGGCGCCTACGGCATCGTCAATCTAGGCATCGATGTCGACACAGGGATATATTATGTACATTCTGTTCACTTTTCTCTCTCTTTTTCTTCACAGTGCTTGAGTATGCACTGATGCAATCCTTTGCTATGATAGCGACAGTACTGACGCCTTTTTTTTGTCACACCTATGCAGGCAATCAAGGAGTTCAGCAAGTCCAAGCTGCGCAAGAAAGATCGTGCAAACCTGTTCATGCTAGGTCGAGGACGCGGTCGACGTGGGCCAGAGGCACCATTGGCACCATCGTCACCCCTGGACATGATTCGAGGCGAGATTGCCATCCTGAAAAAGCTGAACCACGAGAATATTGTCAAACTGTACGAGGTCCTGGATGTTGCCAAAGAAGACTCTATGTTTATGGGTGAGCAGCCAGTATTCACCAAATAACACAATTGCGGATCAAACTCATGATCGTTTGGTGACTCATCCTGGCCACTTTGTTCTTTCTGTCTAGTTTTTGAACTGTGCGAACGCGGGGTGCTGACAGAAGTGACTCTAGGCGACAAGATCGGCAAGATCTTTGAGGATGAAGAATGCCGTGATGTCTTTGCGCAGATGGTCCTCGGCATCGAATACCGTAAGTTCACTTTTGCTTCCCCGTCTTCTTTCTCGATTCTTACAATGCACAAGCTAATAAATTATCAATAATACTGTTTACACCCGCTAGTCCACGACCACGACATTATTCACAGGGATATCAAGCCGGACAACCTCCTTCGCTCCTCAGATGGCACACTGAAGATCGTTGATTTCGGCGTCTCAGAAATGTTTGCAAAGAAGGGCCACGATTTGACAAAGAAATCCGCGGGCTCACCGGCATTCATGGCGCCAGAGCTGTGTCGGTATGGTCATGGAGAGGTCTCAGGAAGGGCCACGGATATTTGGTCTATGGGGGTGACCTTGTACTGTATCCGGTATGGCCGCTTGCCGTTCCGTTCCACGAGTCCGCTGGAACTGCAGACAATTATTCGAGAGAAATCTCCGGATTTGGAGGAAGAACAAGACCCGAGGTTCAGGAGCTTGATGCAGAGACTGCTCGAGAAGGATCCTACCAAGCGGATCACCATTGATGAACTCAGAGTATGTGTAGAATTCCTGGGGCTTTCGTTCTTGGAGGAGACGTCTCGCACAAAATGGCTAACAGTGTCTATTATAATCGCGCTTTCCATCCATACTGTATAGAATGACCCATGGTTGACAGACGATGGTCACAAGGAATTGAAGTGCAAGGAGTTGAACACAGAGACTGCTGTGACAGAAGTGACAGAGGATGAACTAAACGGAGCCATCCAGCGCATCAACGGGCTTATGACCCTTGTATGTTTATGTCCCACTTTACTCTTTCCCATCGGTATTATATGCTTTGTTCTAAACTATCATTTCTAACATCTGGCACATTCTTACGTAAAAAAAAAAAAAAAAATTAGATCAAAGCGGTGGCAAAGTTCAAGAAGCTGATCAAGAGTCCAGCACTCAGCTGCAGTTCTAGCTCGAGCTTGAGCACGCGATCGTCGTCCCAGGAGAACGTTAAGAGTGTCCAATGCATTACACCCGTTTCTTCGACACCCTTTTCGTCTCCCATATCGTTCTCGAGCAAGAGTAAGCAGTTTCAAGACGCGGACGAAACTAAGGCATCATGTGCTGCAATTTCTTCCTTCAGTAAATAAATTCACACCTATTTGTGCCTTTTGAAGAAATGTGATCGCAGATCAAATTGTTGGTGTGTAAGAGCAAATGACAATGTGGTAGAAAACGAAAAGTATTACAATAGAAATCCAACTGTTTTTGGTTGCTTTATTATGTTGTTCATGGAGCCAGCTGCAATTGATCAAACCGGGTCTCATCGAAGAACTGGCCACGGACCTGGCGTCCTCCAAAGAACCGGCCATCGAGATCTTTGAGCGCCCGCTCAGCGGAACCCAGAGCCCCAAACTTGACAAAAATCCGTACAGCCTCTTCAGGCGGTACCTTGCCGTTCTGGACCTCAAAAATGAGACAGCGTACGACCGCGCCGTACTTTTCACATTCGCCTGCTGTCTCTTCCTGTAAGGAGTCGTCTACTTCGCCTGGCCCCACCATGTTCGTCAATAAAATTACGGTGGATGGCGTTCCTGTTGTCAAGGGAATGAAGAATATTGGTGAAGATATGGGTTGAGTGTATAATACCAAGACTAGGTGAAGAGAGCATATGCAAAGAAGCGGCTGCTTTACCTTTGGAGGGCACTTGCTGCGTGCTAGGAACAAAGGCGGGCCGCGATTGCAGCGCAGGTTGAGATGCAGGCGCAATGGGATTCACAGGTCGTTGCTGCTGCTGGCTTAAACGAGCTCGCCGCAGGAATGCATCTTCGCCTGACACATCATTCGCGCTCACATGGCTTGCAGTAGTGGCGCCTGCAGCACCAACTATTGGCGGTACTACGGGTGTACTGCGCGTGGTATCAGATTCAGTAAAGTAGCTAACGGGCGGCATAAACGCCTTGTATGCAGTCGCTGGTCTTTCATGTCCATGTCCCTGACCGCTGCTACCAGGAGGAGAATTGAGTCTTCGTGCAACAGGGCTGGGCGACCGCCTTGGAGAATATGATCTCGACCTCGACCTGGATCTAGGATGACCACCCCTGCGGGAAGGATGTGGGCTCCTGCCTCTGCTTCTGCTTCTGCTTCTCGATCGATCTCCTCTACTATGTGGAGCGCGTGTTCGTGATAAAGGACTATAGTCGCGGCTGCGTGAGCGGCGAAAGCGAGTCGCTGCAGATTTGGGTGATTGAGACCGAGACCGCCGACGAGAGGCAGAGTGGGAGCGACCCCTGGATCTGGACCTGGAGCGCGAGTAGGAACGCGAACGAGTCCGTGAAGGTGAAGATGAGCGTGAAAGTGAGCGCCTGTATCTCAAAGTCCGTTCTTGTAATTTTTGTTGTTGTTTTTCCTCCTCGCGTAATCGCCACTCGTTCTCGAAGAGCACCTTGAATTCTTCATATTCGTTCGGTCGAGCGATATCATAGTCGTCGTCAAGTGAGATGGGCCCAACCTGACCCTTCACCGGTGGTTTCTTTGCTTGCTTTCTCACATATGCCTACATGTATTTGAAACGAACAGCATGTCAATGAGATCGATTTTCGAAAAATAATAATAATAACGTCAGTTCTAAGAGAAGCGATGAAAGTATTCGTTACCATGGCATCGTACTCTTGACGCTGAACCTGCGCAGTCCTTGCTTTTAGCCAGCTGTTTTCGTCCACGGTCTTTTCAGGCTGTTTGGGCGGCGAGAATAATGTCGCAGCCGGAGCGGAAAGTTCCGCTATTGCATTAGATCCCTGTGATGCTCCACTTTGGATATCAGTTGACGATGCTGCTGCTGATGCAGTTATTGTGGACGACTGAGCGGCGAATCCAGCGGGGATGGTGCGTACGGCTGTTTTTGGCTTGACTGCGGCTAACTTCCGATTCAGCGTGGGCTTAAGGCGGGTGATTGACGACGCCCATCCAGCTGAAGTGTGGAGACATTTTTGGGGGTTTGGGGGAGTCTTGTTATTAGTGTATTCTGGATAACAAGAAAAAAGTGGTAGAAGAAGAGGGAGTTCTGTTGTTGTTCATGAATCAAGTACCAGGGAGAACCGGTTTTGCAGTAGCTTTAGACGAAGCGGCTACACCATCCTTGGGATCCGAGTCTTGTTTTTGAGTGGGATTCTCTCCCTCGGCTGAGGAGGCACTGGGCGGTGGGAGGTCGCCGTAGAGGGACATATTATTGACGATAACTATGATACTGGCTGAATCTCCTTTGGCCTTAATTTGTTGTCATTATTCCCGGATGTGGGTTTCCCGCTCTTGCTTCAATTGGTGACTTTTGGTCCTCGTCCGATGGTTGATCGCCTTCGTGTTGTTGATGGCTAAGGAGGTGTCAAGGGTCGTAATGACCTCAAAGCTGAGTGTGTATGTGTATATGTGTATGTGGATACCCTTAATTCCAAGACACACAATGGATCAGTTCACGGATGCCGTGGGGGAAGTGCATACACCTAACTGCTATCGTGCAGGAAATCCATCGGGCGGAGTACAAAAAAAGGACGCGATAGCGCAATAACTATTGTTGTCTGCTTTTGGGTTTGTCTCTGCTGCAACAACGGGCGGTAGTTGGAACTGAAGGAACACTTCTACCCGATCGAAGCTCCCATACGAATCTCCAATCTTTCTTCCATTCCCCTCTCCTTCTTCATAAGCACTTTTCGAATCATGATCCCGCTCGCATTCAGGGCTACCATCAGGTCAACCGCCCGTCTGGGACAGCAGCGTCCCCTCGTCGCTGCCTCTGCCGCTGGAACTGCCCCTCGTCAGGCGCTCTACTCGCTCCGTCAGACTGCTCGCGCCTACGCCTCGGCCCCCAGTGCCACAGCAACTCACCACACTGCCCATCACCCTAATTCGGATGCTGCCTGGGTGGTAAGAAATACATTATACGCAGGGTGCACTTAGATGACAGTTCTGTGCCTGTTATCTTGTACTGACAATGACCTTCAATTGCGCGTTGTTGTTGTATTGATCCCAAACACATTAGATCGGTTCCCTGCTTTTCTTTGGCCCTATGGTACGTATACTGTCTCAGACGCTGTTCAAGCCATAAGATCATATAATCGTTGTCCTCCTGGACTTCATGATCCTCACCACGTTGTACTTGATCTGCGCAATAGATTTATAAATTGACAGCCCCCCCACCAAGGAAAAAGACTGCTGAGGCCAACCATCACCATGCCGCAACCTCTTCGCACAAAAAGGAGGTCAAGCAGGACCTCACAGATGATGCCGAGGAAGAGGATCAGGAAGTTCCTGCTGCGAAATACGAAAAGGATTTCTACCCTTACATCCTGATCGGTAAGCACTCTCTCTGTCTTTCTTGCAGGACAAGGTGGTCTTTCGATGGAGTATAATTTCTAATGACTGGGACATAATGACACATAGGTGGTGGAACGGCGTCGTTTGCTGCCATGGAGGCCATTCGTGAGAAGGATCCTTCGGCTGCTGTAAGTCGTCATGGATTCATTGGAATCTGTGCGTGAGTGCGGGTGCAACACATCTACTCACTTTCATTGAAATCCATTAGATTTTGATCATCGGTAACGAGGATATCGGACCTTATATGCGTCCCCCATTGTCAAAGGAGATGTGGTTCAATAAATCCGAGGAGACCACTGAGAAGCTCTCCTTCAAGGACTGGCAGGGCAAGGAGCGCAAGTACGAGCAACCAGCGCGAAACGCCTTGATTATCTTTATTCAAAAGCCATTTTCGCAAGTGCTTGCGCTCACAATGTCTCTTTACCTATTTTCTAAATCCATAGTATTGTGCTGCAGGGCAAGGAAAAGATTGAGGCGTTGGACCAGGAAGCGCTTGATGAAATCGAGTCTGCAGAGAGCGGTGTCAAGTTATTGACGGGCGTGACCGTCTCAGATCTCAATGTCGCAGAGCAGACCATCACGTTGAACAGTGGCAAGTCCCTGAAGTACGGCAAGGTTCTCCTGGCGACGGGCGGTACCCCCAAGACTCTGCCTATTCTCAAGGACGCTGGAGAGGACAAGGTCACGACCTACCGCTCTGTCGAGGACTTTAAGAAGCTCCATACATTGGTCAAGTCCTCTGGCAAGAAGATTGTCATTGTTGGAGGCGGTTTCCTCGGCAGTGAACTTGCCGTCGCTATCTCTCATTATGGTACGTTCTGTTTACAATTCTTTTTTTCCCATTCAAAAACCATGGCTCTCTCTTCGCATAGTGTTCTTAGTACTAAATATCCCATGTATACATATGCAAAATAGGTAAGGACAAAGATGTAAAAGTGACGCAAGTTTTCCCTGAGGACGGGAACATGGGCTTGGTCTTCCCCCGGTACCTCTCCAAGTGGACGACCTCTCAGGTGGAGCAGGAAGGCGTTGTTGTAAAGGCCAATTCCCGTGTAGCCTCGTCCAAGGCTGTGGACGGTCAGGTTGAATTGACGCTCGAGAACGGCGAGAAGATCCTTGCGGACCATGTGGTTGTCGCTGTTGGTATTGAGGCAAATGTCGATCTCGCCAAGAAAGCTGGACTGGAGATCGACGAAATCCGTGGCGGTGTTGCAGTCAATGCTGAGCTCCAAGCCCGCCGCAACGTTTACTGCGCAGGAGATATGACCTCCTTCCATGATGTGACCCTGGGCCGTCGTCGTGTGGAACACTACGATAATGCGATTTTGGGTGGCCGTGTTGCGGGACAGAACATGGCTTCGGATGACTTGCATAAGACGTACAAGCACCAATCGATGTTCTGGTCTGATCTTGGACCCCATATTGGTTATGAGGCTGTTGGTATTCTGGACTCGAAGCTGTCGACGGTGTCGATCTGGACAAAGAAGCCTACAGTCGCTGCCGCAGCAGCATCGGATGACGATGGTAAGAAGGAGGAATCCAAGGCTGTAACACCATCAACTAAGACAACGGCGGCAGCAGGGTCTGAGAAGGAGGGCAAGCGTGAAAGGGCGACGGCTACACCATTGCCTGCTGAGGCAGTGAAGGTCGAGGACAAGGAGAAGTACAACAAAGGCCTGGTGCTGTACCTGAAGGACAAGAAGATTGTGGGTCTGCTGATGTGGAACAACTTTGGCAAAGTCGACGACGCACGCAAGATTCTTGGCGAGGTGTACGACACCGAGAAAGTTGAGGCCCTCGTCAAGCCCTTTGGCATCCATGAGGACTAAGCGATACCGTGTTGTCGCGGGAAGCAAGGAGGCGGCATCTTTATTGCGGATCAAATTACAGACAAGCACAGTAAACATGCGTAAGCAATACCTATAGAAAGAGAACATCTAACGGATTATCAAGGGTATCATGGTTTTTGATACATTGTTCATGCCATGATGCGATGCATTTGATTGTGGGAGAGGGGGGAGAGGGGGATTGAAACATTTGAAAGATGAAATGCTGATAAGAAAAATAAAAATAAATCGCCCAGCACGTGGAATTGGAGATGAACTCCACAAAGTCGCATTTTATTCTTGGAACCACAAACCATTTTTTACTTTTCATCCTCATCCCTCCTCATTCATACACTTCCCTTCCTTCTCTTCACTTCCCGCTCAAATATGTCCTCAGCCCCTTCGACTACAAGAGTGATGCCTACGAACGTCAGCAACAGTACTAGCAACGTCGATAACAGCTCGAACGTGGTTTCGGCTAGTGGTCCCTCGGATGCCCATGTTCCAGAGATCCGTGGACGGGAGCGTCAGGGCTCCTTTGGAGGGTCGACCAAGGTCAAGATCCTGAAGCCCTTCAACACTGCGAATATCAAGATCTTGTTGCTCGAGAACGTCAACGAGACTGCAGTCTCTGCCCTTAGAGACCAGGGTTATCAGGTATGAGATGAAATTTTACGTGTGGTGGAAAGATGCGAGAAGGGGTTGAAACCGTGACTCACCTGCAGCTGGATCTCTCAATTGACGCATTCTTCTTTTCTATCAACTTTTTTCTACTGCCTTCCGCTAGGTCGAGACTTTTGCAAAAGCATTGCCCGAGGATGAATTGATCGAAAAGATCCGTGATGTGCACTGTGTCGGTATCCGCTCGAAGACCAAGCTGACAAAGAGGGTCTTGGATGCGGCTGAGAAGCTCGGAGTGATTGGATGCTTCTGCATCGGCACGAACCAAGTCGATCTCGAGCATGCGTCCCAGAAGGGCGTCGCTGTCTTTAACTCGCCCTTTTCCAACTCGAGATCCGTCGCGGAACTGGTCCTGGCTGAAATCGTGCTGTTGTCGAGACAGCTCGGTGATCGTAACAATGAGATGCACCAGGGCGTATGGTCCAAGGTTTCGGCAAACTGCTATGAGATCCGTGGCAAGACACTTGGTATGTGCTTTTTTTTTTTCTTTTTTCGCTCGTACTGTTTCTTTACTTGTAGGGGGGGATGAACGTTGTATTTAGGGTAGTGGGTGGAGTGAACTCGGATGCGGTGAGTCGCCTGCTGCCAATAGGGCTATCTCTAATGCCTCCGGTATTGGCCATTTTGGGGGAGGTAGTCATTGTTGTAGTCATGATCGCAATTGTCGGGAACTGAAAAATAACAGCATATGTAGAGAAGGAGAAAGAAGAGAGCCTAGACCCTTTACTTGATGGGTCTGCATGAGCTACTTCTTTCGCTCTAGTAGGGCTTCACAAAATATTGATTCTCCGGGCTTACACTCCTTCTCCTGATTTCCACTGTCATGCTTTCGGCGACAGCATTTCTATGCACAGAAAATGAAAACGCGATGGCACTGGAAATAACGCCATTTGACAATTATATATTTTTTGTTCACTGATAACCTCGGACCAATAGGAATTGTTGGATATGGACATATTGGATCGCAGCTATCCGTGCTCGCAGAGTCGATGGGTATGCGCGTGCTGTTCCACGACGTTGTGCCACTGATGCCCCTGGGCACAAGCAAGCAGGTCAACTCTCTGAATGAACTGCTTGAGTCCTCGGACTTTGTCACTCTGCACGTCCCTGAGACTGAGGACACCAAGAACATGATTGGTGAACATGAACTCAACAAGATGAAGCAGGGCTCCTTCTTGATCAACGCCTCCCGTGGCACTATTGTTCAGATCCCTGCCCTGGCCAAGGCCCTGCGCTCAGGACGCATCGGTGGCGCTGCTGTTGATGTTTTCCCCAAGGAGCCTGCTGCGAATGGCAAGTTCTTTGAGTCGGAGCTGGTTGGATGTCCCAACACGCTCTTGACCCCACACATTGGAGGTTCGACCGAGGAGGCTCAGTCGATGATCGGTGTAGAGGTCTCGCAGGCATTGATCAAGTTTATCAACAACGGCACATCGATCGGCGCCGTCAACTTCCCTGAGGTCGATCTGCGTGCGATTCGCGATGAGGAGAACTCGATCCGTCTGTGCTACACGCATTTGAATGTGCCCGGTGTGTTGAGACAGATCACGAATATTCTGGCAGATCACAATGTCGACAAGCAGTTCTCGGACTCGAAGGGCAAGATCGCCTACCTGATGGCCGATATCTCGGATGTAACACCGGAGCAGATCCAGGACATCTATCGCCGCGTCAGCGAGACCCCCACCAACATCGTCACCCGCATTCTGTACTAGATAACCAACAAATCACAATAAATAACGAGAATCATGGATGTATTATTATTAAAACTGATTTTGCTGCTCTTAATCTGTGTCATTCTGCCTTGAATTGTGTACATGACTGAACAAAAGGGGTTGTTTCTTAGATGTGGCTCTTGTCTTACCTAAACCTTAAAGTAACTCGAAGGCGGTAAAGAGTAAATATGAGAGGTCTGCATGGTTAAGCCTTCACCTTGAACTGATGGTGCGATACAAAAGTATAGATGGGGACTAAAAGAAAGTGCCCGCGAAGACGAAAGATAGGATTTCTTCGGTTGTAAATCAATTGGGTTTTGAGGGAGAAGGACATAAACGACGGAATGGCGGAGCTGACGTCATCAGCTTAAATGGGTAGTCTGAACTTTTCCGCACTAACTCGCTGATTGGCTCGAAATAGCGTTGGGTTTTATTGTTTTCTCGCGTGCGGAAATAATGAATGTGCACTAAGAGAATTTACTGGCAGCGAGAACCAGCATTAACTTCATCTATTCCTTTTATCTCGCGTACTGCTTTCTGAAGGAGTGCCGCCGCAGAAACAAAGTAAGTCTCCGTGCACTTCCTGGTCTTGCCATTGTGAACCACTCGACCAAGCTCCATCCAAGCCTGGCGAATTGTCTCCTCACACTCCCACATCACTTGAGCCCTTTCCTCCTCCTGCCGTCTTCTTTTTTCCTGCATCTCCTGTTGTCGCACGGCTTGGAGTCGCTGCTCCTCCTCCTCTCGTGCTGCTTGTAGTTGTTGAAGTAGATTCGGAGAGAGAAACTCCTCTAATGGAGGGCCATAATCCTCTTCCAGGACGGTTTCCTCATTCTCGTCAATTGACTGTCCCGTTAAGCTCAGTTGCATTGTTGTCAAAGCACACTTGGAACCCTGGATAGATCCTCGATACCAAGAACATGTGCTTACACGGTAGACCGTGTTTTTCGTTGTCAGGGCAAGAACAGGAGCGGAGCCGTTTGTCCGACAATATATCGATAGCATATTGCGCCTCAGGCGGGGTCTGAAACGACAACACAGAGATCAAGCCTTCCACAGACTTAGTAATGTTGATCAATGTTCTCGCCCGAGCCGAATCAACTTGGATGGCCTTTTTACGCCGTGCCTCCTCGTGGAATGTTAGGCGACGGGGTTGAAGGCCGCTTGTGATCTTGAAGTATGTGGTGCGGTACTGGCTTTCCACCACACCTAGCAGGATGTAGATGAGTTCGTCGGCTCGCAGGTTGCGCTTTCCCGCCAGAAAGTTTCGCTTGAGGTTTCGATGCCATCGCTCCACAAGGTTATTTGTGTTAATATGTTGATGGTGCTATTTCAAATGAATAAAGTGCTTCAACGTTAACAAATTGACTAGAATAAGACCAGTTACATATCGTAGACCAGGCCATTTAATGTTAATGACTTTGATTTGTAGATATAGTATATGTGTATATGTATATGTATTTGTGTATAGTAATTATTATTAAAGTTAGTTCTCTTTTTCACTTCCTTCGTCTTGTTACACACAGCTATTTAAGAGCACCGTTGCCAAATGATAGAATCTCAGTCTTTGTCTACTCAATCACATACCCAGACCCAAACCTATTGCGCAAGGCGATCAGAAAGCTGAGATCTCGATTACTTACTGAACGATAGAGAGGTGCCCATCGGCGCATGCTTTCCTTGTTGATCCATTGCTTCTCCATGTATTTGATGAGTGCATCAGCATTCTGAAACCGCTCTTTAAACTGCTCCCATTGCTCTTCAAGATCAGCCTCGGTTTTTGCTTCGCGTATTTTTCGCAGTAGCGGACGCATTTGTTTTGCATTTGCTATCTAGAATTGCGCGAGAAAGAGTCGTGTTAATGGTTTGAGAGATATGACTGTATGCCCTCCCTAGTATTTTCTATCCTTACGGAAGTGCTTGTCCGAAGTTTCTCCTCCCATAGTTTCGCGACATGAAAGAGGCACAAGTAAATAGAGGCGCACGGGAATGCGCTTCTGATTGCTTGATGTTCGGTCTTAGCACAGTCCACCATGAACCTTTCCATCCGGAGGTTGCACTCCCTCTTCAGCCACGAGAGCCATGCGATGATCGGATACCTGTGGTTATGCAGTCGCTGTCAGTCTTTATACCTAACATTGTCTTTTATGCATCTCCATTCGCGTTGACATACTGCGATTCCGTGTTCGAGATCATGAACGAGATAGGTATCGCTTGGAGCGAGCGAACATCCTTCACCAGAAGAGTAAACAAGTACCCGGATTGGACAGATCCTTCTAACGGCCTGAGTTCCTTGACAACCTTGTGCGTCGAATCCATACAAGCAATGTTTGCGTTGTCTTGCATGACCTACATGTACATTGGGAACAGTGGAGCGATTTGAATTAGCAGGAAAAAAAAATAAAAACAAAGAAAAGGTACTGAGAGCACATGCAAAGAGAACCTTGATTTGGAATGAAGAAGACCAGGCTATCATGTAGTTCTTGCCATCGAGCTTTGCTACATCTTCATCAAATAGCGATTTGCCACCCTCTTTCCGAATGGTGTCCATCCAAAGTTTCACACTCAAAGAAACATCATAGTTCTTCTTGTATGCCAAAGTCCTGTGTCGGTACATAGCGCTTCGGACATCGTCGTACCTAATAAGGAGGGACTTGGGGCGAGGGTCTTCCGGGTTGGCCTCCAGCTAGTGTATGCAAAGGCGTTAGCTCCATAGAAGAGGATAGTGAGATAACAGAACAGACTGCAATAGGTAACATCTTACCGTTGTTATCTGAGAGCTGGCTAGTGTCAGCTTTTGTAATAGCAACAAAACGAAGGAAGGAACAAGTGCAGGAACAAGAGGACACGAGGTAGGAACACGAGAGGCAGGGGACAAGAGACAAGGGCTAGAACGGATGATCTTTATTATACAGAGAGATAGAGGTATTTATACTAATATACAGGGGGCGCAGTGGTGGAGGCGCGGTGATGGGGGCGTGGTTGAGGGCTAAGCAGAAGGTTAGCCTAGGATACTATCACACCTTCCCCTAATAAATGAAGAAGGCCATGTTCTTGACAATACTTGCGGAGGATGAGGGGTGAGTTGGTGATGGACTGAAGGGGTTCCCAGGTGGAGTCCTTGGCCTCGTCATAGCCTACCCACTTGATGAGAAACTCGGGCCTTTTTCGTCGTGTTCTGTGTGCAAGGATGGATTCGACCTCGTACTCGACTTCGCCATTGACGATCTCAGGTTCCGGGGGCGGTGAGGAGCGACGACCAAGGGATTCGGGGGATGAAATAAAGGGCTTGAACCGATCAACATGAAAGACGTCATGAATGCGCATGGTGGGCGGAAGTTCAACCTGAAACGAGACTGGTGAGCGTTGTTGAAGAAGAGTGAATGGCCCAAAGAAACGGGCTTGAAGGGAGGCAGCAGGGCGGGTGGAGTCGTAGGCAGTGGTGATGTGCTCGGTGCTGAGTAAGACTTGGTCACCGACCTGGTAGGAGTGAGGGCGTCGATGGGCATCAGCATGCTTGGCCTGTTGAACTTGAGCTTCAAGAAGGCTATCGCGGGCAGCAGCCAGGGCAGACTGCTGTGCAGAGATAAAGGAGTCAAAGTCCGATGCAGAGGGGCTGGAAGGGGTGGCGGGACCAAGAAGAGAAGCAGGCACCCGAGGATGGAACCCTTGGTTCAAAAAGAAGGGCGAGACACCAGTGGAGGAGTGGACAGCATTATTGTATGCAAATTCGGCCGCCGGCAGATACAGGTCCCAGTCGTCTTGCTTATGGTTGACTAAGCCTCGCAGCATCGTTTTCAAAGTCTGGATTGCTCTTTCCGACTGGCCGTCTGTCTGTGGGTGGAACGACGAGGACATGGCAAGCTTGGTGCCCATACGCTCCTGTAGGCGACGCCAAAAAGTGCTGGTGAATTTTGTATCCCGATCCGAGACAATGGTGCTAGGCATTCCATGCAGGCGGAAGACGTTGCTGAAAAAACAATTGGCGACGTCGACAGCAGTATCCGTAGTCCGACTTGGCGCAAAATGAACCTGCTTAGACAACTTGTCCACGAACACGGTGATGGCATCACACTTGCGCGCAGTCATTGGCAGCTTGACGACAAAGTCCATGGAGACAGTGTCCCAGCGTTGCTCAGGAACCGCCAGGGGGCGAAGTAGACCAGCAGGAAGGCGACGGACGGCCTTGTTGCGCTGACAGCTTGCACATGACTCGACATAACGACGGGTATCAACGGACATCTGAGGCCAGAAGGCGAAGCGACGCAGAGCGGCATAGGTCTTGTCAAAACCCAAGTGACCCGCTATAGCAGCATCGTGCACATCATGAAGAAGAAGAAGACGAAGGTCAGAGGACTTTGGTATGCAAAGCAAGGTATCACCATGTCGTTCAACATACAAAAGACCATCATGCAAAGAATATGAAGACGGTGACTTCCCTCGGAGGCAGCTTTGGTAAATGAGAGCAAGACGAGGATCCTCTTGGTACCCATCTATCAGGCGCTGCCTCAGGCCTGGATCTGACTGAAGGTCAAGGGTGTTGATTGACATGGGTGGGAGTGGCGGATCCCGGTAGTCTGGTCGTCGGGAGAGGGCGTCCGGTACAACATTGTCGACTCCTCGCTTGAACTTGAAATCAAAGTCGTATTCTTGCAGCAGCTCCATCCATCGTGCTTGTCGCCGAGTAAGCTTTGGTTGGGTGGGGAAGTGTCTAAGGGTGTCGTGGTCTGTGTAAACAACAAAATGAGACCCATCCAAGTAGTATCGCCAGGTTTTGAGGGCATGAACAACAGCAAGCAGTTCTTGCTCATGGGTTGGATAGTTCTTTTCAGCAGAGTTCAACTTACGTGAGGTGAAAGCGACCGGACGAGAGAATCCATTGCTGTCCGTCTGGAAGAGGACTGCACCAACAGCAAAGCCAGAGGCATCGGTCTCGACGGTCGATGGCAGCTCTGGGTCAAAGATTCGCAAGACCGGGGCAGTGCTGATGGCATCCTTGAGTGCAAGAAAAGCGGACTCAGTGGTATCATCCCAGACGAACTGTCGACCTTCACCTAG